GGGGGTGAGATTTAAAGTCCAAGAGAAGCAGCAAAGGGGACGAGGCCGAAAGAGACGGAGACTGACTGCTCATATCTCCTCCCTTCTCCTCATTTCTGTGCAACACAGTTCATTTGGATCAAAATCCTGTTTACTCCAAACAGTAGAATCCTAAAAACACTAAAAGGAGCCCATCCCACCCATTTTTTCACGTCCCAGCCCATGTACTCAAAATGTTACAGGCACACAGGTATGCACCCCCCCTCCCCAAGCCTCCACTGCTCCATATTAAGTGTCTTTAAAGGAAGGAGTGCACACACATTCGAGGGAGAGGGCTTGCATGTTTGCGAGGGAAGAGTCCCTTCCAACATGACCGATGTCCGATACAGAAGCTGGCCGGGACGTCGTAATGCGTCCGTTCAACATCTCAAACTCACAGCAGACCCTCAACCACTGCAATAAAACACTGACATTTAATTATTCCCACCTGGGAAGACCCAACTAAAGACATCTAAAGTGAAATGAAACATCCACTACCCCCCGTCTTAACAGTCATTAACAAAAATATATTTCTATACGAATTTTAGCAGTCTCAGGGTACACAACACCCCCATCCCACCCCCCAAAAAGAAAAAAAAATAAATAAAGCAAACCCAAACATTTAAAAATGAAGATATGCATCATGTTTGGATTTACATTAATAATCCACATCACTCTGCAAAACAGAAATAGACAGACTGAATGATGGGAATTGAAACCGATAAAAAAAGTTCTTTGCATTAAATCATCTCCTCTTTAATTCTTGACCACTTTTAAAATCTTAAAAACATTTCTTAAAAAAGGCAATTACTCCTATTTACCCCCAAAAATATCACCTTTCTTGTATTCAGCAAGAGGTGGAGGTGAGGGGGGGGGGGCGCTAGAGAAACCATCCCCCTCTTTGTCCACAATTGGCAAAAAAATATATTAACAGCAATAACTTACAATTCATTTATTCTAATTTATTTAACGACTGCTTGATTTATTGTTCATCTCCCATAGGAAGTTCAGTTCAATGCATCTTTATTGAAAACATTTTAAATAACATTTAATAATAGTATAAAAAAGAAAGGCTAAGTAATAACAATAACACTGTCCTGGGTGAGTGCAGTTTGTGCGAAGAATCACAGAGCGTTTCAGCTCAACTTGACACGTCAAGTAAAATTCCTACATGATGTTGATGTTGTGATTCATATTCTGGCCCAGTGGGTCCTGACCGTTGCCTGCCGGCCCATGGATACCAGCCATGCCACTCAGCTGAGATAGCATGGCGCTCTGGTCCGACCCAAACTGCTCCATAGAGTTCTGTTGCTGCTGCTGGGTCGTTGGCTGTTGCTGTTGTTGTGAAGAGACAACCATACCCGGATGGTGCTGGTTCAGGTGGCCTGGGTGTGGGGAACCCGTCTGCATCTGAGGGGAGATGTGATGTGGTGAGGGCTGGGGCTGCATGCGTGGGGACGGGCTGGAGTGTGGCGGCTGAGACTGGGGTCTGGGCGAAGGCTGTGGGGATCGCACTTGGTTAGCCAGGGATGTGTGCGCCTGGCCCTGCAAGTGTGGGTGTGGGGACTGGGCCATCTGTTGTGGCTGCTGGGGGCTCATGGGATTGCTGTGTTGGGCTGGTGACCCACCAGGGCCCAGATGCTGCTGCTGCTGCTGCTGCTGGAGCAGCCTCTGGTGGAGTGCCTGTTGGAGCAGAGCCTGAGAGGATTGAGGAGGGGGACCACCCTGAGTGGGCTGTGGGCCTTGAGGTGGCTGTTGAGGACCTCCTACACCCCCTCCACCTGCATCACCCCCTGGTAGGCCAGCCATGGCATTCTGCTGCTGCATCTGGAGGTGGTGCTGATGGTGGAGCCTCTGCTGGAGTGCAGCTGTGACTTGCTGCTGTGCCACTGACCCTGGGTAACCTTGCCCCTGCTGGCCTGGGGGACCACCTTGCTGCTGAGGGCCAAGAGGAGGACCTCCAGGTGGTCCCTGTCCCACTGAAGGCGGCTGCATCCCAGGTTGTCCCATGTAGCCCTGCCCCTGTAGTGGCTGTGGCTGCTGGAACTGACCATGATTTACTCCCATTTGCTGTTGTTGCTGTTGTTGCTGCTGCTGCTGCTGCTGCTGTTGTTTTTGTTGCTGCTGCTGCTGCTGCCTGCTTTGTTTGCTGGAGATGCCGCCTCAAGGAGTAGCTCTCTATAACTGAAGTACTTGTTGAGATTTCCCATCTGTTGCCCCTGCCCTGCAGTGCCTCGCTTACTCCCCTTGCTGCTGCTGCTGCTGCCTGCCTGTTGCTGCTGCTGCTGCTGCTGCTGCTGCTGCTTGCTGGAGAGCGGCCACTTGCTGCTGTGTGTAAATCGCTGAGCATCGGCCTCTGGTTTGCTGGTTGTTAACTGCTGCAGCTGCTCTGCGTGCCTGCAACTGCTGATGCTCGCTGTTGTTTGTACCCACTGCTGCTGCTGTTGTCTGTTTGTTGGTTGTAGACTGCTGCTTCTGTTGTTGTTGTAACTGCTGCTGTTGCTGTACTTGTTGGAGGCTGGCCATAGCTGGCCATGTTGACATTCGTCCTCCTTGACCCCCATGTGGATACCCGGCTGGCCGCGCCACCCTGCAGCACTCCCATGTTCACCTGTGGGCCCCCCTCCTGCCATGACCATTACCAGGACCCCCTGTGGTCCAGGACCCTCCAGGGACACACACCCTGGGTCCACCCTGGCCTTGACCTTGTATTTTGAGCGCCTCTTGTTTGATAAGCGCCCATGGAAGCTGTGGGTCTAGACTCGGAGGATGTTGAGGACTTGCTGTTGCGTAGTGGTGACATAGGCGAGCGGAAGAGTCGTAACAAACTCCTGGGGGCTGCTTGGGGGATGTTCCCACCAGCAGCACAAACTCCTGGGACACCTGTAGCTCCAGGGGCCACTCCCCTGGGACCCCGACACCAGCACCTTGCCTGCTGCTGCGCCATATTCATCAAGGCAGCATGGCCCTGAGCTTGTTGGTGCTGTTGCTGATGCTGCTGCTGCTTGCTGCTGCTGCTGCTGCTGCTGCTGTTGTTGTTGTTGTTGTTGTTGTTGTTGCTGCTGCTGTTGCTGCTGTTGCTGCTGTTGCTGTTGCTGTTGTTGTTGAGCTGTCATCATGGCTGGATGGCCCATTTGGTTCATCATGGCTTGCCTCTGCTGAGGTGGCATCCCTTGGCCAGCCCACTGCTGTTGCGGGTTTTGAAGAGGAGCACCCATCCTCTGCTGTTGAAGCTGTACCTGAGGGGGGAGTTGGCCCTGGGGCAGGTTACCCTGCTGAGGGGGTTGCTGCATGGGCCCACCAGCACCAACCATCATCCCTGGCGGAGCACCTTGTGGTTGATCCATATGGGCCCGAGCAGCTGCCACTGCTGCTTGGTTCTGTGGTGGCATGCCCTGGGGTCCAACCATCCCTACAGGCCCAGGGTGTCCCATGCCCATCTGTTGACCCTGACCCTGTTGATGGTGAGGGTGAGGAGGCATCAAGCCTGCAGCTGCCTGGGCTGCTTGTCTCTGCAGGGCCATCTTCCTCTGAGCATCGGCTACCTGTTGGATCTTCATGGCAATTTCTACTGCTGCCGGTGGAGGGCCAGAAGGGGGCTGCTGTTGCTGCTGCTGTGGAAGGAGAGGCTGGCCCGGGGACTGATTGGGAGGCTGCTGGCCCCCAACACTTCCAGTCATGACAGAGCCACCAGGCTGCTGCTGGGGAGGTGTTGGGGAGCCAAGGACGGGTTTGCCCTGGGACTGATGGATTGGGGAGGAGCCTGGGGGTCTGCTGGCATATGGAGGCAAATTGTTGGGGTGCTGTTGGAGCTGTTGAGGGTTGGTCCCTGCTCCACTCTGATGTTGCTGCTGGACCTGAGGAAGCATCTGCTGCTGATGTTGGGGAGAGCTCATTATCCCCCCACCTCCTCCACCCATCTGCTGAAACTGGTGGTGAAGGGGGTGCTGAGGAGGCATGCCACTTTGCGGAGGCATCCCACCTTGCTGCTGTTGCTGCTGGACTCCAGGTCCAGGACCCATTCCCTGCTGCGAGACTGGAGGCATCTGCTGAGTTGGGGTCTGGGGTGTTGGGGGTTGGGTTCCACCAGAAGTTGGGGTACTGGGTGCCGTGGTACCATTGTTCCCTGGGGATGGAAGTCCAGCAACAGGTCCTCCAGGTGGCCCTCCGGCTGCCTGTCCCACTCTCTGCATGCTGGCCATCCTCCTCCTTAACATCTGGGCCTGCTGGAGCCTGTGCTGCAGCTGCTGCTGCCGGAGCTTTTGCTTGATGTTCAGACAGAACGGGACGGGACATTTGTTCTCCTGACAGTGTTTGGCATGGTAGCAGCACAGAGCAATGAGCTGCTTGCAGATGGGACAGCCGCCATTTGTCTTGCGCTTGCAGCTTTTTGTGTGCTGAACAACGCGCTTCATCTTCTGGCAGGACGGCAGGGAGCAGTTGGCGTTGCGGCACTGGCATGCATGGACCAGTGACTGTATGCAGCGCTGGATGCTGAGACGGCGAGAGTCTCCCGGGCTCTGGGTAGCTGCTGCTGCCTGGTTGTTGCTGTCATCGTCCAGTCCAAGCCCCAGCTTATCCATCTTGTGCTCATGACCCTTAATATTGTAGCAGGTGATGCACAAGTCATAGTCCTGGAGAAGCAAAGGAAAAGAAGAATGATGGGAAAATAAATATGTATGTTAGTGCTGGATTAATTAATACATGTTGAAACTTTCCTGTGAAACTCAAATCACATTATACATACACAAACTTTTGTACAGTTCGGTCTGAAACTATGTGGTGCTTTTGAAGCCTTGGTTCATATTTCATCTTCTGATGCCTACAGCAACATGATCACGGTTATAAATGATGTTTTTCATTACGTCAGACAACAACAAAAGTATAAAACAGTGATTTAAGCTCACAAATGCTACCTGTTAACAAGGGCAAATAGCCATCTGAATGTAGAATAAATCACAGTTTTATGGTCACAAAGTTATCTAATGAATACAGATCAAACACCTAAATGGTGTAATTGGCTATATGAAGGGACGAAGTTGGAAAAACATTGTTTATCTTGTCAGCACTAAAACACAAGACTGGAGTTTTTATTGTTATTTTATCTTTTATTATTTTTATTATTATACACAGCTTGTGATAAACAGCAGCTTAGTGTGGAAAACGAAAAGGAGTGTAATAAATTTAACCAGCTCATTGTGGGCACACTCAATTGAAGATGAAAAACAGGAAAAAAGGGACAAAGACAAGTCCTGATTCTCACCTCGCAGACGGTGCAGTGGAAGCGGGTCTCCACATGGTGTTTACACTCATTGCAAGTGTAGACAAAGCGGTCCTGGCTCTGGTTG